AATTCTACTCGAAGGAATAAGCGGAGTACGTTTCGCTATTGTTAATTTAATAATGCATAACTTGACATAAAAAATTAAAACGCAACGACGAGCGTCTCGACGATCGTTAAATCGACGGACCGATAGGACATTGTACACTGCACAAAAATAATCGAGGGTCCACCGCTTTCAACGAACGGCTCGAATTCCGGTTTGCTTAAAAAAGCTTAAAAAAATTATCGCGGTAACGTAAATACATTTATTAAAAGAACAGGCTAATCTCTTATCAAACAAACCGATCAAACGGCGTAGTAGCTTTATGTAAATACACGAAAAATATACTGCCATTGCACTTTGTTCAATCACTAGCGGATCTATTTTCGGAGGCCCGTAACATCCCGGCAAGACTTATAAAAATACTTACTTCCTAATTTGTATGTAACGAATGAATATATCTTTTCACCAACAAAATCAACGTAAAGGTACTCGTGTCAAAAGTCATGTTTCAATAAATAAGTTTCCAATAAATAAATGTTCGTGGACAAAAGACTAAATTTTACCTTTCGACTCGCACAATTGTTATTCAACAAAATAGGTGACTAGAAATGAAGGGAAAAAAGACTCACAATTTAAGAAATGACGTTCTACACACACGTCGAAGGCTACTTTGTACCCCGAAATTCAAATCACAGAGCTCAAACTTTGCTCTTAAACAACGTTCATAATCTTTCAAGGTACCACCGTCCCCCCCGCGAAAGTGTGATCCTTCGATTATTTTTGTAGTGTATTAATTTTCACTTGTTTCTCGATTATAGATGTGATTCGACGCGCGTCGAGGGCATCGGGAAGCGGCTCTGACATCGATAGTGCACGGAAAATAAACGCACGGTCACTCGTGCCTCGCACCGGTTTCCCAGAGTGGCTGCAACAACGAGCCGCGCGAAGGAACGGGCGAAAACAAAGGTCAACCGACCCCCCCCGCGATTCCTCGTCGTCGAATTAAGCCGCGCGACAATTAATCTACGATCGCGAAGCCTCTCTCGTCGGCGCGCCCATACACACAATATAATACGCATAGAATAGACGAACACGCAACGTACATACATATACATCTTACAATTCGTTAATCTCGCTAAGTGAGACAATTATTCGGTAGTGTATGACGCGATTACATTGGCAGAGAAAAATATATAGCGCGGTTGGTTCATTCGGATAATTCGGCCCGACGTCGCAAGCAAGAGGAGACTTGAATGCTGGTCCGATGCCGACTACCATTCGACAGCGCATGAAAAGGCAACGGGTCCGCGCGCGCCCTGCAAACCCGTTTCCTCGATATACCGGCGAGACTAGCGTCCGAAACGAAAACTGTCCTCGAGGTAGCAAGGACAACCGTCTTCAGGCTCGCTCAGGCTGTCCGAAGGAAAGTATATCGACAACGAGACGATTGTTCCGTCCGCGAGGGAACCTGGCGAGCGACTTTTCCCTCGGCGACGGAATCTCCTCGATTAAACATCGATCGCGTCGCGTTCGCCGGGGAAAAGCAGAGCGCCAGAGTTCCAGGGTTCGAAGAGGCCCTTCGCCAATGTGTGTCCCCCTTTCCTCGACCTCCCCCGTATATTACACATCTGCACATGTCAACGCGTGTCACATTTACACGAACGTGCGACGCAACACGCTTGCGTTTGGTGGCACGTCGATTAATTAGCACCGATCGCGGGTTTCTTTTTTTTGTTTCGTTTTGTTCATCTTCTCGGCATTGGTGATCGACGACGTCGTGTCGTAACGAATGTCGAGACGCGTCGGAAGCGCCGCTTTAGCAGGTAGGAAAATGTGAAAGCGACGCTAAATCGCGGCGAGCGCGCGCCGTCACCGTCACGGAGAGCGAGCGCGTGGACTTTCGCGCAATTCCTCATCACAATGCGTACAATCGGCATCGGCTGCCGACAATGCTAATACTTAACGAAACTAAATGCTACGGAGTCGACGAGAAGTAATTACAAGGTATACATCTTGGTCCGCTTGGCCGCGCCGTCGCGATTTCGCGTCGTTTCCACTCGTCGTTCCCGTTGTCGAGAGGAGGGAACGACACTCGCAAAGCAACGATCGCTCTCGTTACACTTAACGGAGGTCCCGTTCCTGTTCAACCGTTTAATACCGCGGGTGCCGCTCGAAAGGATCGAGCCCGGGACGACCCGAGACAAATTCGCACTCTCGACGTGGATTCCGAAAGTGACGAGTATCTTTTATGCGTACAAGCGTAATTATTCGTCGGTTGAACTTGGCGAGATCACGCCTGGGTACTGAAGGGTTTCTATCCCGCGGATAGATCGTTACGTTCCCTTGCGCTGAAAAGCTAAAGACTGACGTTCCCGTGCTAAGCGGAAGTCTCACGGAGATAATCGACATCTCGTACGGACAGTATTATTTATAACAACGCCAATATATACTGCACAAACGCCCGAACGCCTCGTTTTACCTTAACTCGAGTCTGGGATATACGTTTAGAAATTGCATCGAAACGCCGGGAATCGATTTAGCACGATTTCCTAGTCAGTTCGCGGGCGAACGTTTCAAGAATCCATTTCGCCGACGGCGCATCCAATGAAGATTGTCGTCGTACATAAATTCCCTTACATCGCTCTCGCTCTGGTCTGATACCCTTTCGGACAAATAATAACGCGAGAGACCGTTCTCTCCCTCTCTCGCCGGCGCTCTCTTCGATCTCCCGCGAGTCGCGCATCACGCAGGATGCAGATCGCAGTGACGAGCGCGGTACAGTGCTTCGGCGCTCTGAATCATTATCACCATATTACACGCCACGCTTTCTTCTCGATTTAACTCTCTATTGCCTCGTGCAACGTCACCTCTAGCTAGCTCCATTGTGTCCCTCTACTTCGCGTCTCCTTTGAGTTTAACTTTGAGTTACAACACGCAGCCGCTTGCAAGCCTCGCGTTTTCGACGGTACAGCGGATCTATCTCGACTTATCGCGTCTCGCTTTCCTCTGGATCCTCGGAGGCAGGACGGCTCCGGCAATAGAGAGTTAAAAGTCCCGTGCATTCGGGACGGGACGCGCATGTTAAACGGCCACCCCGATGCTCGGATGGCGTTAACTTCGCGCACGCTACAACTAGGACAATGTAAAGATCCATTCGTAACTACAAGCGAACGTTATAGCGACAAAATATATTGTACACACGCGGGCCCGCGGAGGTTCCTCGCGAAGGATTCCGGAGGAAACCTCTGGGCCTGATATTGCGCGACGGTACGGACTTCCGTTCTCGCTTGCACAGTTGCTCGTTGCTTAACATCTAACGCTGTTTTCGCGCGGTGTCACTCTCACGTGCGTGACACCGATAGAGGAATGCGCGTGTCTGGCGATGCCGTTCCTGTTCCCGGCGGGGCGAAGGTCGCTCGTTACGAACGGAACGCGGATGGCCGCCGACGTTGCGACGACAGGTACAAATCAATCGGAAACGTACGAGCCGTGCGTTTTCTTCTTCTTCGAAAGTGACGCAAGTCGAACGAATCTCGGGCTCGGTCGACGCCGAAGAGGACGATCTACTGGATAAAGGCATGATTGCGCTGCAAGTTCGCTGGTGTCTCTGAAGCCTCGTGTCCAAGCTCTCGTCCCGGGAAATGTGTAGCCAATCAACCCGCATCTTTTATGGAAAAGCTGATTGTCTACACATTTCTCGAAACTAGAACTTGGACCAAGTTCTGGCGTTTCGTTTGAGACTCGAGTCAACAGTCTGACGAGTACCAGGCACCCGGCGATCATCGACACTACAACAACTTTGCGTACAAGATCGCGAAGATCACGTTTGCCTCCGGTCGGCCTCTCCCGGGTCCCGGACTCGCTCGGCGATTCGCCCGTCCGATCTCCCTCGCTACATCACACGCCACATTCCCGTCGACTGGAATGGATTTACATACACTCGTTACTTGGTTAAATTAACGACGACGTTACTCGTGCCGTGTCCGAAAGTAATTGGAAAGCGCCGAAAACAAACGAATCAACGAACGAACGAGCGAGCGAGCGTGAACGAACAAATCTACTGATCGAACCGATTGCTCCCGCTCGTGCACTGGCCGCGTGTATTCGTATTGCCGGCCCTCTCTTCGTTCTATTCGCTTAAACCGCAAAGTGTAAAGTGTATCTCTTCTTCTTTTTTTTCTTTTAGGAACTTATAATACTACTCGTGGCCGCCGTGACTGGACCCGACGGCGACTTGCTTTCGTTCGCGCGGGTTTCAACAAAATTAGCGTCTACGTGTCGCGTGTCCGTGTCAAAATCAAAACTATATACATACATATACATACTCCGGCTGTAACCCGATTAATCTTGTGCGATCTTGCTTTCAGTCGACGATAACTGGACGCTTTTTTCTTTCTTTCTTTCTCTCTCTCTCGCTCTCTCTTTCGCCTTCGCTATTATCTACCTAAATGCGCGCGCTTCGCCATCAGCGGCGGATTGTAATCGGAGAAGGAACGCCAGCCGCTGCAGCGTAAAAGATTCTCTCTCTCTACCTGGGGTGAATCGAGGGGACCAGCTTGGTTCGTTAACAAGTCGGCGGAGCGGTCGCGCGTGTCCCCGGTCCTCGCTTCTGGAATGTCGTAGACGGAGCGACAGGAAAAACTCTCCGCGCCTCGGAGCCGCGGCACGTACACGCGCTCCGTTAAACGAAGATCATGCGGGAATATACTAGCGCTGTATATCGGACCTCCAGGTAGGGCGTGCCGCGGCTCCTCCGCGGGACGCGCGCGCCCGATCGCTCTGGCTCTCGGGCGGGAAGAAAGAAGGGGAAAAAAAGAAGAGAAAAGTAAACGCGCGCCGCAAACCCGCGTGAAGCGCGCGATCGAGCTGGCCGGGTCGTTGTCGTCGTCTAGTTAGACCGGGCTATCTTGTCGAAAGACAGTTATCTCACTCTCATTCTCTCGCTCTCCTTCGATCCGCTTCTCTACCGATCGACCAATACGCACGACGAACTCCTCTTCTTCTTCGGAGCGTCACCGGCTCTATTTTTTTTCAAGTGTCGAAGAAATCGCTCATCTTATCTCGCGAATCTCCGGTCCTTCGCAGTTCCCTCTTTTTTCCCCCCCTTATTCTCTACCGACACTCGCCGATCTTCAGCCACCCTCGAACACGCTTGTAAGATTTTTCTACTTTATCACAGATGTTTTATTCTCGATTTTGTAACGCCCTGCCTATACCTACAGCTCACTCGGTAACAATCGATCAGGGATCCTCGTGTCGTGTTCCCCGCGCTGTTCGCATACTATGTATGATTACGCCTTCGACGATTACACATTTTCCCCCCGTGTGATTGATCCGCCACCCCTTCTCTCGTGCCTCGTGTACAGCCAACACGTTACAATCACAGCTCTCGTCTCCGCCATTTATGCGCAAGAAGACACGATCACACGCTAAGGCCTGCCTTAGTACAAAAATATACATTCGCTTCTTAAAAAATAGATCTTAGCATTCTGTACTGGCTAGCGTTTCGTTTGATATTTTACAGTATTTTGATTCTTGGCAGGCTGCTTTTAAGGGTTTAGTTTACATTATCGGCTTCTACGAGAACCGCCGTCGAGTGAGCTCCTCTCAGGGCTTTTGTTCCGATCTAAAAACGCTAGCTTGTGCACCATCCCCCCCCTTGTTTTGTTTTTGTTTCGCTTTCGCGGCGCGCATATTCATAAATATATATTTTTTCGCGCTCGCTCGGTCGCAAGACGGCGACGCGCGAGACTTAGGGCCAGGCCGAGGTGGAAAGCAACGTGGAAGGAAAGGCCGCGGCGGCGAACGCCGTGAGGAAAGATCGGCTTATACCGCGTTCAAGACTCGGAGCGGCGACAATTTTTGTTCTCTCTCTCTCTCTCTCTCTTTCTTTCTTTTTCGATCGGATGTGCTTTCCATCCTGCCGCTTCTTATGAATATGGCAACGCGCGGCGGCGGCGGCGGCGTGCAACCCGGCTCGACTTGTTGTATTACACCTCCCTCCGGCAGGTTCAGTCTTATGCTTGTGTGGTTTTTTTAATCGTTATCCACGCGCTGGCGACACGTGGTTACATTAGTGTTGCGTTGTGCCCGCGTCGAGCGGCTGCACCGCCGCCTTTTCTACACACACGATATTTTTACTTTATTACAGAGGACTCGCAGAGATGGTACTATCATATCACTTGATTTGTTTGTTTGTTTTTTCTACGATATCCGTTAGTACATTCAAACGCGTATCATCTCGCTCCGCGCTCTCGAATAATCTCCCTTCGTCTCTCTATTCGCACGCTATTAAACGCTTGCTCTCTCGCGTACATTGTCGCATGGTTTTTGCTCTCACACTTTATACTCTCTCTCTCTCTCGCTCGCTCATTTATCACACTCACACGCTGGGCACCGCGTCCCCGCATATAGTTTTTCTTTCTTCTCCTCCTCACACGGAATTTTCGTTCGTTCGAAGGAAAAACGAGAAGAAACGTAAAATTATCTCGTAAAGTCTTCGTCCCGTGGCATCGGCGGTCGCGGGGACGAGCGTTAGTCGATCACGTCCGCGTTTTCGTACGGTAAATAGTTACGACTCTCTCTCTCTCGGGGACCCTCCACGGGGGTCCACGGCTTCTCTCTCTCTCTCTCTTTCTCTCGTCTCGCGTCAGACTTCTCCCCCTTTCTCACGTCTGATGTAAAAATATACACGCGCGGAATACGAAATGAAAGGGCACGAGTGTGATATACCTTAAAGCTCCTGGCCGCGGTCCCGGGCGAACGTGGGCGCGTGTGCACACAATTCCTATCGCCCCGCACGCTCGCGAGGACGGCGGCCGTTGTAAGGTGTTTTCTTTTTAACTCTCTGGCTATCTCTCTATGGTGGATGTCGCGCGACAGATTTCTCAGCGGATTTACCCTTTCCCGCGACTCAGGTACATGTTAAGGCCCGTTCATCTTGTATAGCAGCTGATCGTACGTCGAAAAAGAAACGCATTGTCTCGCCCTTTTGTGCCTCCCTCATCTCTCCCGCTTTTCACCCCCTTTCGCACCCTCGTGTGTCTTTCCGCACGCAACTCCCGGCGTGTTGTTCGCGCGTGTATCCGGTGTCTCGAACGCATGGAGAGACGTGTATGTACAGAACACCACATACAAAAACCAATATTAATACACGTGTGACTACGAGTTACGATACACGGTAATGTAATATAATTATACAAGGGCTCGAAAAAAAGTAAATAACCTCTCGGAATAGTAAACTGTGTGTATATACGGCATATACGGTTGCATTTTGGTATTTTCTTTGTTACGAATAGCTTTCTCTCTCTCTCTCGCATTCTCTTTCTCTCTTTTAAACACGCTCTCAGAATCGTCATTGTTAATCGCACGACAGAAATAGATGCGCGCTGCGTCCGGATGCTGACGTGTTTAAGTTCGACAGATAATACAGTTATACATACAATATACATACATATACGATTAGCGGATAATAACTCCGATTTTACAGATATACCTATATTCGTGTGTTCGTCATCAGCGGTCGCTAAGAGCACGATGAGTATAGACGGTTAAATATATATATATATATATATATATATATATATATATTTGTTTATGTTACTTGTTCAATCGCTAACTCGTTATCGCCTGTCGAAAGTTATACGTGGACAGGTGCGGATAATATGCCGAGCGACGTACTGTTTCTTCGTCCCATCTTGCGTCTCGTTTTCGCTCGCGGCCGTGCATTACTTGTATCCCGTCGAGCGGACCGCGCCCACTCCGGTGCGCGCTACGTTAACATTTGTACAAAAGCGTCCGATTGGTCTTGGTATTAAAAATAACCTCGGATCGCCGTTATTGACTTCGTGCTCTCTACTTTGTTCTCCTTTCGTCCTCGAGAGACTCCTCAATGCTCCCGCGCCGCTCGTCCGACGAACTCTTCGCGAAGTCTTACTAGATATTTTACTCTCGCACGTCATGCTCTTGGCGCTCGCTATCACCTAACTTCCCAGAGAATTGGAAAAATATGTTGTTAAACGCATATTTCTACTTACATACGTTTGGAATTTTGTTATTCTTTCCAGTGGAAGATCACGAGATCCGAACCTCCCTCCTTATCTCTCCTGTGCGCTGCGCGCTTTTTCTCTCTCTCTCTTTTTTTTCTTCCGCTGGACGCCGATCGCTCGTATCCTCTCGCTCCAGCTGCGCGCTGCGCCTCGTATTGTACATCCCTTACAATATTCACGACACATCCGCGATCTTGTTCTCGGCCACGTCGTTTCGATGTGCCGCGCTCTTTGACCAGAATAATAAACGTAGTTATATAAAATGTACTCTGGCTCTTTTCCTCTGGCGATATCGACTCAATAGGCGAGAGGGGGCGACGTGTATCGCCCTTAGTGCGGTAATACACGTTCGTGATCACGCGCTTCTACGTCGCTTTGTCAACATCAAAGCGCGACTCATGGTTTTCCGTAAGAAGAAAACTATAGGTGCATATAAATCACCGAAGACCGTCACTCGGTCGAGAAGATCGCCTCATTGTTTGCAAATGTGTTGTAATTTGCACCCGATGTATCATCAAGTCGAAAGTAGATCTAGTTTGACTACAATTTATCACATTCATATAATGAAATACCGATAGAAGTATCGTAAATGAGGAGAAAGTTACGATGTTTGTATGCGTGTATGTGTTGCGCGCGCGCGTTTATCTCTCTGTGTTCGCGCACATTGCGCCCAGAATTCCCAACTCGGAAAACGACAACGCCGTTGACAACGAGATTTCGAACTTGTAGCGCGTGTTCGATGTTTCGCCCTCGTTCAAAAAAAATCTCGTAGAAGAATAAAAGGTGTGATCTGATAACATTACTTCAGAGAATTATCGGTGGCCCGGAAATGTGGCTTCACGCTGGATAGAGATTTTCCTTGGCTTCGGTCGACAATTACTTTTGATCGCTAAGAACCAATGGCATAATCACTTCTCTGCTGTCGCCCTTGAAAGGATCCAGTATTACCATTGGCAGGTCCGAATCACTCAACGACATCCAATGTGGACCCATTATGTCTCGAATTTCCTAAATGTTGGAACATTTGATGTTTTAAAAGATCCTTCGTGTCGTGATCGTTGAAGCTACGCGGAAAAACTTGAGCATGAAAACTTAAACGGTATAAGCGAATCGATCAATTACAGTCGAGAACATAAGCAGCCATTGTGAAATGTAAACAACGTAGGAAATTTCGTATGAAATTCTTACACCTCGAGTCTCGCTGCTCAAGCTTTTTGTATGTCCTTAAGCCTTGTGTCCACGGTCCAAGAACCGTGTCCAAATTCTAGCTCCGAGAAATGTGTAGCTAATCAACTTGCATCTTTTACGGAATAGCTGCGTCTGTGGAACTAGAGCTTGGACGCAGTTCTTGGATCGTGGACACAAGGCGTCAATCCCGTATAAAGTGAAACGGCCAGTTTCTTGTATTTAAAAAATACAATACAAAAGATAGATCCGCCGAAATGCCGCGCATACTCACACGTCTGATGGTTTCAGCGTGATCTCGGAACCACAGGAATTCAGATGTAATGTCACTCTTCGCGAATACCAACAATTTAAGACTGCTGCCTCTGAGACGCACGATGGCCAACAGATTCTCCTGGTAATACTTGTGACCCAGGAACACCATCTTCGTAAGTTTCGTGCACTTCCATGCCACCAACACCAAAGAGTCTGGACTGTAACAGAATAATACATGTGTAAATTACGCTCTCGCCGCACGAGTAGAGAAGTAGAGAATTTTCTTACTCGGTAGGATCGTTCGGATCGAATGTAGACGGTACGTGCTGCTTGCGATCTATCGAGTCTATCCATGTTAGCGATTTCAGCGTGTGCGTGTACCACATTGATAATCGATGCAGCGCTCTGATATTAATATTCTCACAGAACAGAACTTGCAGGTGTGTCAGTGGCATGGCGGGGCAGAATATGTCGGTGTCCAAAACCTTAACGCCGGCGTAAGAGTGTATAAGATTGAGCCTTAATTCACACTGCGGGCTGCAAAGAAATCAACACTTATGCATGTCTCTTCCTCGTCGAGATACCATTCTCGTTAACAATCGAAACAAGATATTAAACGGGTATTTAAAACCGTCTTAAGTGTATCTTAGAGTGCTGTATGGAACATTTGATTGGCTTACGAGAGCCAACCAGGATTTAACCCAAAGTCACCTGATCTGAAACGCCGCATCCTCACTGACTCTCGCAAGCAATCCAGTGAGAAAAATAGTATCGCGTGCCGTTGGCTTAAGACCCGACTATGAATACCGTCCTCAGTTTGCTTCTAAGGGAATAGTTTGACAGAGACAAAGAACAAATTGAACAAAGGTCTCGGCTCGCGCGACAACTCACTTTTTCTGAACGAACATTTGCCAGGCCATATTTGTCGTTCCCGGATAATCCTCCTTCCAGCCGTGTATGTGAATCACAAGCCTCTGCATACATCCGTTATCTAACGCTCCCAACAGAGTATCGCTGACATACTCGTAATCCAGAGTCAAGATAGACAATCTGATAAACGAATTAAAAATAGAGTTGTCGAGCTCCAGGATCTCGTAGTAGTCGGGATCGTCCTTGACGGATGCCAGACTGAGGTGCGTCAGGTGCTTGGAGTGATGGAGACGGAGGGGCTCCAAGAGCGCGGGCAGATTTATCAGCTCCTCCCTGCATCCCAGGCTCAGGGTCTCCAGACGATTGGAAGTTTCGATGATATTCACCAAGGATTTCACCAGCGACTTGGAACTCTTGCTCCGGAAAAAGTTGCTGAAAAAGACAAAGTCGGTGCGACGTTACTGAAACGGCGCGGGCCGACTTGCGTCCCTGGGCGCGGTATTCAACTCGAGCCGATACCTGTCGTCCTCGTTGCCGCAGGTGTTGCTGTTGAACTCCAAGAACAACTTGCGCAACTGCCTATTGTGACCTAATTTCTGCAGGAGCCTGTACGTCTCGCCCACGCAATTGACGTATCTAGGTATATCCCAGCGAATCGTAGCCTCGTGCACGCTCAGAGCGAAGCGATTTGCCAGGAATCTACAACAGATACCGTGTTATGTGTACCGTGCGACGCCCGAGGAGTCTGTAACTAGACGAGGGGGGTAAGTCTGGCTTTACGAACCGGGCCCACATGACGCTGTCCTGGTCTCTGAACACAAAAGTGATTTTCTTCCAAAAATTTGGGTGGAACAAGGTACTTCTCCAGTGTCTGCACACCTGTAGACATCAAACAAGAATCAGTTTCATCCAGAACAGTTCTGACTTCTAACATTCTCATCGTAGACCGGGCCTGGAGCCTCGGCGAGTCGGGCGTCGATGCCGAAACAGTGTTTACGGCGCGCAGAGCTGCCCGACGATCGTGTTTATTACAAAGTATTGTTTACAGTAACTACATCACGTGCGTCAACCCGACGATTTTTCGTCCAAGATCTAATCGCTATCGCGCGTCGACAACTTGATTTGTAATCGTAAACGATCGCTGGCGCTCGCGAGCGCCGACACAATAAGGAAAGAGAAAGAGAGAGAGAGAGAAAGAGACCACAAAGAGCGACGAGTCCCCTTTCCTCGCGACAACTCGAGCGCGCACACGATAGCGTTCGCAAATCAAACTTTTGCCCACGCAAATAACAGCCCGGGCGAGATACCAGGCGGATTCTCGTCGGTATATACATTCCGCGTGAAATACTCGCGCGATTGGCGCGACGGCTTTATCGGCCGCACACAATGTCAGGCCAGTTTACAGCGCGGACGATCGCGAGGAAAAGGAAAACAAGAGGCAGGAGACTCGCCCCCCCCCCCCCTCCCTCTCTCACTCTTTCCCTCTCGCATTCTCTCGTTAGGTACCTGGGAGGCTCTTATTCTGGTCTCGTGCGACAGATACGAGAATATCTCCTGCAAGATAACGGTGGGCAGGTTGTCCCAGGACGGGCCGTGGTGCTCTTGCGCCATTTCTGACGTGCGACACGCAGGCTTGCAGGACGAACAGCTGTTCGCCGCGCACAGCATAGACAGCTGTCCCTCGGCTCCCTCCTCCTCGTCGTCGTCGTCGTCGTCATCGTCGTCGTCGTCGTCGTCGTCCGTTATCGCGTCCCCGTGCCCCGACGCCGCCGTCGCGACGGCACCGTTCGTCGCCGTCGCCGTCGCCGCTTTGAACCTCTCCAGTCGCGCGTCGAACGTGTCGTCGCAGGCGCGCATCATGTTCAGCCAGCCGATCGGCCAGAGTCGCGAGCCGTCCGCCGCGCCGCTCGACCTGTCGCCGACGGGCGCGCCGTCCGCAGCCGAGACGGGCATGTATATATACATATATATATGTACGCGAGCCGATGTGTGCACGCACCGAACTCGCGATCGCGCGACTTGCCGCAAACGCGAACTCACCTCACCTCTCGCACGCGTTCGCCCGCACGCCTCTCTCGCTCGCCCCCAACTGTCGTCGCGGCCCGCCGCCGCGGCTCCTCGCGCTCGCGTCTCGGCAGCAGCGCTCGCCGCTCTCGCCGTCGGCGCGCGGCGCGCGGCGCGCCCGCGCGGGCTCCCTGCGTCGCGCACGCACGAAGGTGCGTGTACAGGGTGTGATTTAATTCGCGCCCGCTGTTCTCAGGCGCACGATTTTTGAATTCGTTCCGAGGAGAAACGTATGCGAGAATTCGCCTCTTACGGAAGAGCTGCAAGTCGATTGGTTGAAAGCCGCGCGACCTTCAACTTTTCTGCCGGAGCAGGATTTTCGCATACTTACCCATACAGCACAGATGGTTGCAGTCACATAGAAACGTTGCAATCTTGCAGATTGCAGTGCAATCTTGCAGAGACATTGCAGGGATATAAAATTGCAAACTTTCGATAGCAATATTATAGCAATATTGCAGCAATGTTTCAAAAATACTGAAAATACTATACCCATACAGCACAGATGGTTGCAGTTACATTGCAGAAACGTTGCAATCTTGCAGATTGTAGTGCAATCTTGCAGACATTGCAGGGATGTAAAATTGCAAACTTTCGATAGCAATGTTGCAGCAATGTTTCAAAAATAATGAAAATACCAGACCCATACAGCACAGATGGTTGCAGTTACATTGCAGAAACGTTGCAATCTTGCAGAGACATTGCAGGGATATAAAATTGCAAACTTTCGATAGCAATATTGCAGCAATGTTTCAAAAATAATGAAAATACTATATTTTCTCTTAAAAAAATGTTTCTAATTACGAGAATTTGATAATGTTATTTTCGTTCATACCAATAATGCACGAATTATTAAGTACTCGATCAGTGCGGTGGTGCTCGCAATTTCCATCTATTGCGAAGCGACATAATCTCCTTAGGTTGCTTCGCAATAGCTTGCTGTGTATTGAAAAAAGCCCGGATGCATATATAATTAGTAAATTCTCTGCTTATATGTACAACAACGACAAGTTATTCCAAAAATATTGCGCTGCAACATTGCTATAATGTTGCACTGCAATCTCTCCGAGGGCGGACATTTTAACGTTGCTGCAATCCTCCAGAAACGTTGCAGCAATGTTGCGCAACGTTGCTGCAATATTGCAATCTTGCAATGTAACATTTCTGCAATCTTCCTGCAATTTTTCTGTGGTGTGTGGGAAGAGATGACACAAACGAATCAAGAAAATATCAAATTAGTCAATGAATTGATAAATTCGTTAACTGTAGTCCACAAACATTTTTGGAGCATCTTTAATTAAGATACGCGCAAAAAACAGTTTCCAGAACAAACAATACGTTTAAAAAAACAAGAATTAAATATTTTGTGTAATCCATAATCCAGTCTTTTAATCAGTCAAAATTACATTATACTGACGTGAAAAACAGCTCTTCCATTCGCCTTGACAAACAAGCCGTTTTTAAATCTGAAAACGAGCACCTGGGGGTCAATTCTGTACAATACAATGGGTGTATCCAGAAGCACGACCGCTCACTGAGCGCTCAGTGACTTCTTGTATCCGATTGACGTATATTTTTAAATCTAAAAGAATATGTGTATCGGATACAAGAGCTCACTAAGCGCTCAGTGAGCGGTCGTGCTTCTGGATGCACCCAACGAAAGTAGCATTGTCTCGGGGGCGGTGAGAAAGAGACAAAGCTATTTGCTTTTAGCGTTTTCACTATAGTGTAAGATGAAGAATGGACCCCCTGCGTTTCATGGTATTTCCAATTTTACTGGAAAGAATCGAGTTTCTTTCTGCAAAGGATCTTTTCTACAAAGCGATCTTTTACAAAGATACTCGAGCCTACTGAGAGGCAGAGAGAAACACGACGGTTTTATTGAAACCTTTTGACAATCACCGTTGAAAATACCGTGTCTGTCCAGCTGAGATGGACTCGTAAAAGGATCGAGCCGTTTCATTTAGGATTCTTATTACAAGTTTCAATGTTAGGACGGTATTCGCAGTCCGTTCATGCTTCAATACTTCTTAAGTAATGTTTTAAGCTCTAATACGGCTCTGCTGATTGGTTTATAACATCTTAAGATCGTACATGGAGAGACTTTTCTCTTAAAATTTTCCCTGAAAATCAGGTAATCGTAGAATAACATGGCACACATATGTATACTTTGAAGAAGTGTACTAGTTACTCGAAATTTTACCACATATTCTACACACAGAAAAATTGTATACTACCTGCAAGTAAATATTATTTGTTCCAAGTATTTGATAAGTTTATATATCCACAAATCTATCATAATGTCGTCGCAAGTGTTATATTTACTCAAAACATATTTTGGTTCTTAGTAAGTCTAGTACTTCAAACAAGAACCCATACAGCACAGATGCCCAGATAACCTGCAGTATGCTTAAGCAATGTATGGAAATAAAATGCCAGCAACTGATGCTGGCTCTTTGCTAGGAATATGAATTCAATGTTTGAGTGATTTAAGTACAGCTAGCATAATGTTAACATATTGTCGTAGTTAAATGCACAGCTAGAGAGAGAGAACACATCGAATAGGCATACTGTTAACAAAAAATTAGCATATATTGTTTTCAATTTTCTAACAGATATAAACATGTTATATCTATTACATCTGACCAAGCACTTAATGCTAGCATAATGTTTGAATCATGCAAATGTTTCATTTCCGACACCAAATGCTAGCAAACAACAGCACAATAAACGACATAGATGCATAGCACGATGCTAACATTTTTCTTAGCAATGTGAAAGCAACTTGTGATCACACTGGCTATCTGGGTGGTTGCAGTTACATTGCAGAAACGTTACAATCTTGCAGATTGCAGTGCAAACTTGTAGACATTGCAGGGATATAAAATTGCAAACTTTCGATAGCAATATTGCAGCAATGTTTCGAAAATAATGAAAATACTATATTTTCTATTTAAAAAATTGTTCTAATTACAAGAATTTTATAATGTTATTTTCGTTGCTACCGATAATGCGCGAATTATTAAGTACCTATACTTGATCAGTGCGGTGTTGCTCGCAATCTCCATCTATTGCGAAGCGACATAATCTCCTTAGGTTGCTTCGCAATAGCTTGCTGTGTATTGAAAAAGGCCCGGATACATATGTAATTAGTAAATTCTCTGCCTATGTACAACAACAAGAAATTATTCCAAAAATATTGCACTGCAACATTGCTATAATGTTGCACCGCAATCTCTCCGAGGGCGGACATTTCAACGTTGCTGCAATCCTCTAGAAACGTTGCAGCAATGTTGCACAACGTTGCTGCAATATTGCAATCTTGCAATGTAACATTTCTGCAATCTTCCTGCAATCTTTCTGTGCTGTGTGTGTGGGTATATGTAATTAGTAAATTCTCTGCTTATGTACAACAAATTATTGCAAAAATATTGCACTGCAACATTGCAATAATGTTGCACCGCAATCTCTCCGAGGGCGGACATTTCAACGTTGCTGCAATCCTCCAGAAACGTTGCGGCAATGTTGCGCAACGTTGCTGCAATATTGCAATCTCGCAATGTAACATTTCTGCAATCTTCCTGCAATCTTTCTGTGCTGTGTGAGAATACATAGAATTATTTAAAGCAAAACAATTTTGTTTCTTCTGATTTTATTAAAAGAAGCATACGGAATTCTTCAATAAGTTTTATAATAAAAAGAAGAATAAATTCTTTCTTTGAGTATAAGATGGCAAGCTTTTCTGAGATTAGTAACAAGTACATCTTAAAACTATTATTAAGAAAATATTCTTCGTTGAAGCAAACTGTTGCTTAAATAAAATAAATATATTAATACCTCTCTTGGAATAAAATAAACTGACTAATTACTTTTCTTGACTGTACAATAATATTTTTCTGTACATACATACTAGGGCTCGCTATTATACGTTTAAACGGAAACACGTTTATACGTATAATTAACTATCCGTTTATTAGAAACGTTTTTCCGAATACACGTGTTTTTACTTAACACGTGTTTTTAATTAAACGTTTGCACGTATATTAAACACTTATTAAACGTTTGCTAAACGTTTAGTAAACGTTTAAACGTGTAAACGTTTTTCTACAAATAAACGCTTTTCTGGAAGAAAATGTAAACGGATAAACGTTTCACGTTTAAACGTTTATTCGAAAAACGTAATAAAATCCGAGCCCTAACACATACGCGCGCACACGTTGCGCGTGGACGAGATTACAACGCACACGCGGCGCGACGGCATTGCGCGCCGTACGGTGCGCGCGCGAGGACGACACGGAACTGTCCGAAGGCCGCCTCGCGGCGGAACAGCTGGAGGAAGCGTGACGAGGGAGGCACGTCTGGTGTGCGTGCCGGGCGGCGGGCAATATGGAGAACGCGCCGGAACGCCGAGCCGTCGTCGCGTAGTGAGCCCCGCGTCGTGGGATACTGTTATTGCCGTTACCGTCGCCGCCCGTTGCCGCTGCCGCGCCGCTTAAATGACACGGCACGATGACGCGTTCGAAGATCCAGAAGCTCGGCTTCTTCTTGTTCCTGCTGATCTTCCTACTGGCGCGGACGGCGGTGTGCGACGGGAGTTTCCGGGAGAAGAAGGCTGGGACGGACGCGGACGGGAAGGCGGCCGTCGCCGTCGCGGACGGAAACGCGAGCGATAAGGACGGCCAGAGGAGCGCGGCCGGCGCGGCCGCTGACGCCAGGAGGCCGCCGGCGTCCGACAACAGGACGCACGACGGCATAACCTCCAAGCCGCCCCCGCCGGACGCCGCGAACAAAACTGCGCACACCGTGGACACGTCCAGTGAGGTTCGTTAGATCGACGGCTCCGGCACGATCCTCCGTTCCACCGCCAGTGTGCTTTTGTTTTGCCAGCGTGAATTTTTCAAGGATAAACGTTGCACGAGACGCGCGAGGCCTGGGTCGCTCGCGCGTCAATCTTTTTCTCCAGCGTAAACTCGCGAAAAGCGACAAATTTCATTAACGAGTTAATGAAAATTTTCACTTTTCACAAGTTTACGCTCGAGGGAAAGATTCGTGATCGAGTCTCAGGGGTTCGATCATGAATCTCCTCCTCAAGCGTAAACTCGTGAAAAGTGGAGAACTTCATCGATGAATACTGAGCTCGTTAATGAAATTTTTCACGAGGTCGCACTGGAGAAAAAGATTCATGATCGAGCACCTGGTCTGCAATACGTGGAGTAAGCCTGGAGTAAGGAAATAAATTAAATTTATGTAGGAAGGAGAAGTGCCAATGTGAGCCACAAAATGAACGGAACTCGGTTCTCACAATATAGTAAAATGAATGTCTCTTTAATATAAAAAAACTACACATTTAACGTTTTGACCCTTCTTCGGGTCTTCCTCAGTAAGACTCGTGAATAAAATTTAACGTAGGAGGTCAAAGCACTATTGTGATTACAGAATCGTCTCTCTATGTTTGTTAATATCAGTAGATCTCTAAATGGTCCCAGACATGAAGAGGACTGAATAACGTAACTCGCAGAAGGATGAGTCCGTAGCAACGATGTTAAGACTGTGATCAACTTTATTTCTTACTCCTACTTCAGCGCTTACGCTTGCTCTCGGTGAATCAGAACGTCGGCCAGTGTTACAGATGTTTTAAAGACTATGCCTGTATTTTAGCCGAAGGTTCTCTCTTACTCCATGTTTCCCTATCCCCTCCCTCCCCCAGGTTCAAACCCCCCAGGTCCAGGTTCAAACCCTGGCTGAGGTAATATTTTTCGCAATGAATTTTCTGTATTATAAAAATTGCCAGATACGGTCAACAAAAATCACAGATGTTAATTACTTCTGGCGACTTTTAAGAATATTCTTTTACTAGGTGAATATTTTGTATATTATACCATTAGACCAATGCTGGTATCGGTGTTTAATCTTTATATGTGGAAAGAGAGTATGTTTGTACATTTTATACAATTCGTATAGGCTGGTAAATGTTTTTCCATATATCTTACTCTGTTCTGTCCCATTAGACTTACTTGTCCCATTAGTTATCTTAATAGATCCCCTCGAATTCGAGACATTTCAAGGGTAAAACGTGTATACTCGATTACTTATATTCCATCGACTTCCATGCCCCATAACTCTTTTCCATGACTTCCTGCAGGTTCGGGCTCGTAAGGACTTTTGATCGGTGGGTCATAAGCTAAAAAATCCCAAAGTTTGGAGAAATTTGACCGGTGCCCAGATTTCCAATGTTCGTGTGCGTGGTCCTTTATAGTAAATCTGCAAACAACATTTCTCACGCTGCATTAGATTATATTATTTTCTTGATCTATTCCTTGTCCCAGTTGTTTGAATCCTGATCCAGTCCTAGCCCGTTATTTTTCTCGCCGACAATTAATAAGTGGCGCGTCCTATTGTTAGTGCTTACCTTCCTGAAGACACACCCCTATGTATTAGAGGAGAGTCTTCTATTATGCGGTCGGTTTATGAGATAGCAGGTTTTCAACACCCAAATTCAATCACAAATCTTTCGCAACGATTACCCGATCCAACAATGAATTTTTCACTAAAGAGACTTCACTCCGAAGGTAATCAATTCACGGTGGAATCACCAGATGATTCCAGCCTATTAATTTAACAGAAACCCCGCTATCTCGTATTGGGAGCTTGTCTCATAATAAAGGACTTTACTATTCTTTGTACTAACGTTGTTGGTTTGGCAGTCCAGCGAAGGCCACACGTCCTTCAACACTGGTGCTCTCGTACGTGGCTTCTTAGTCTTCGTGGGACTAAGTATCCTTGTCATGGCCTACATCGTGTTCCGTAGCTTTAGGTGCGTTTTAACAAATCACAATATCGACATACAGATCCCCCCCGACATGACAGACCAGTCACTTAATGGGCTTTGTCTTGTTCTCATTGGTAGGTTAAAAAAGACACGCGCCCAGTTGGTCCGAAAATACGGCGTCCTCACGCACAGGCAGGACGTCGAGATGCGGCCGCTGCCACTGGAAGAGGAGGACGACGAGGACACAACTGTTTTCGATGCGAGCAACGTTGTGACGATCAACGCTCAGCATCAAAGCACATAGACGTGTGAGAGTAGTGTGAGAGTTACACCGTCGCGTTAAACACGTCGTCCGCGCAATGTTCTCGACATCGTGTCACTTTAATGACATCTAACTTTATCGCGAACTCGAAGCGGAGGACTGTACGGGAGGACTATCAATTGCGAGACAGAGGTTCAGGCATTTTTCAACGTCTTAAAAGTTATTTGCTTTGCGCAGCAAGATTATTGACATCAAATATGCATCCATGATGCAATTATCATTAACGTATGCTTGTCAGCAGTAGATGTACTTTTCCTAAAAAAGAAAACGAAGCAAAAAAGAAAAAATACAAAATATTTCTACCAACACTGTCCACCCTGTTAATATTACTATGTGATAACACGAAATTTTAGATGTGTATCGTATGCGAGCTAACGAAGAGTTTATGGGTGGCTATATCTCTCTTATACAGATTATATTTTAATTAATCTACGTTGTTATAATTAAAATTGTACAAAAAGACATGGATTGTCTACCTTTCATTTAATTCTACACATTTTTAGTAAGAGAAAAACTGCATCACATTTCACTCCAAGTACCCATACAGCACAGATGGTTGCAGTTACATTGCAGAGACATTGCAGGGATATAAAATTGCAAACTTTCGATAGCAATATTGCAGCAATGTTTCGAAAATAATGAAAATACTATATTTTCTATTTAAAAAATTGTTCTAATTACAAGAATTTTATAACGTTATTTTCGTTGCTACCGATAATGCGCGAATTATTAAGTACCTACTTGATCAGTGCGGTGTTGCTCGCAATCTCCATCTATTGCGAAGCGACATAATCTCCTTAGGTTGCTTCGCAATAGCTTGCTGTGTATTGAAAAAGGCCCGGATGCATATGTAATTAGTAAATTCTCTGCTTATGTGCAACAACGACAAATTATTCCAAAAATATTGCGCTGCAACATTGCTATAATGTTGCACTGCAATCTCTCTGAAGGCGGACATTTCAACGTTGCAGCAACGTTGCTGCAATATTGCAATCTTGCAATGTAACATTTCTGCAATCTTTCTGTGCTGTGTGGGTATACGCAAATATAATTTCGGGATATACATATCTACTGACAAGATATAAATATGAAAATGAGATTTTATTAAAGTTATATACATTTGTATATTTATATTGTTAATGTGCATTAATAATACTATTCCAATACTATTTGCTTCGGCGGTATTTGTACTAATAATGTGCATTATCGTTTTGATAAAGTGAAGCAATTATTTACATAAAGTGGTAAATTATATATCGCCAGTAATTTAAAAACAAATTTTCATAAGATTCAGCGACCTACACTGGCTAGTGTTTTTTAATAAAAACACTAGCCAGTGTAGGTCGCTGAATCTTATGAAAATTATTTACAATTTTCTACGTCAATGGAAAAAAGATCAATTACGTATGGATTTCCATTCTCATAGATATCCATTTTCGACTGCATGGACAATTACATCTGCTAATCTCTGTCTGCCACTTGATGTTTCGATGTTAGACAACGTCCACACGTCCGCAATATTTACCGCCTCATCGCCCTTGATAATGGCATCTAGATCGAATGATTGAGATGGATCCAATAGACAAAACGGAATAGCTTCCATGGAAAACGCTGCTCCAACGATGAAGTTCTCCTTCACCTGCAGTCGATATTAACATTAGTAGAGGAAAGTCCCCCATTACGAGATAGGTTCCTAATATGATATAGCGGGGTTTCTGCTAAATTAATAGGCATCATCTGTTGGTTCCACGCATTGATTGTCCTCGATTGGATCGTGTAATCGTTGCGAAAAAAGATTTGCGATTGAAAACCTACTATCTCATATTAGAATCCTATCTCATAATAGAGGACGTTTCTCTACAGTATTCTTTTGAAACTTCGATCCGCAAAATAGTCTCGCTTTACCTCCCGCATAAATAAATCCCACGGATAAATCTTTTCTGGTTCGGATCCAAGAGATTTAATGGCGCCGCTCAATTCGGAGTGGTAGACTTTCAGTATGTCGTCGAAATACTGATCCCGAAATGGCTTCAGAGTGCAGGAATAAATTAAAAACGACAGATCCGTGATAGGGCTGGCGCAACGCGCAAGCTGAAAGTCCAGCATCAGCGCTTCCTTCCTATCTCGCCCGACGTCTCGGACTAGAAAGTTCGGGGCCCAACAGTCACCCGCGGCTATGACAGACGTCGGGGCGTCTTTCCTCTCGCACAGTTCCGAGCACTTGTCGTAGAGTGCACCAAATTCGTAGGAATTGAATTGCCTTTCGGCTCTGCTGTTGGGGTATTCCGTCGTTAACGCGTGTTTCGCTATGTCCATTAGCTTTTTCTGTAAATGCGAAGGTGTTTCATTAATAATCGGCGTATCAAGACGCCACCGTATGGTATCACTTGGTGACTTACGTGGAATCTTAGGTACCAGTCCCGATGATGACTACCAAAGTAGGTTTCTTTCAAGTAGCTCATACATTCTAGAAACTCCTCTTTCCTCTGGTCCCTGTACGCAAATGAGATTGCATGAAATTTCGCCAAGGTTTTCAGAATCACCGCACACTCCGCCCAGTCCAGGCAGCTCTGCCTGGACGCGGGTCCAAATCCCAGGGGGGAGACGTCTTCCAAGACTAGGAAGTCATCCTCGCCGTCCGTATACGAAGCCAGGTAACGCGGTATGCACAGTAGATCGCTCTGCCCTTTCTCCGCCAAGAATTTTTCGATCCTGGGGACGATCTGTGAAACAGCACACGATTTCAGATCAAGATATTCGTTGCTTCATTTGGCACAAATACACGGAAAGAAAAATGTTTCAGCTGCCGTAGCTGAAAACAATTAAATTTCAATTGTAAAATATAGCTGCGATAGCTAAATATTTTGCTACTGTGCCTATTGTGTTAGGTGCAACAGCAAACCGTTTGCTGTGGTTTGGAAAGTTATAGTTACGGCAGCAAAATATTTTTAGCGAACCATGATTAGCTCTACGGTAGCGAAATTTTTTTGTCGGTGTAGAATTCGTTTTTTCCTCGATAGATAGACAGTCCTTCATTACGAGATAGGTTTCTAATGCTGGATAGTGGGGTTTCTACGAAATGAATAGGCAATATAGGCATCATCTGTTGGTCCCACCATGAATTTATTGCCTTTGGAGTAAAATCTGTTTAGTGGAAAATTCATCGTGAGATGTAATCGTTGCGAAAAAAGATTTGTCATTGAATTTGGATGTTGAAAACCTGCTGTCTTATATCAGAAGCCTTTCTCTTAACAGGAGACGTATTTTCAATCGCACACACTGAGCGAATTTTCTCTTAAAATTTATCTTTTGAAAGTCGTGTCATCGTGGGGCATTTTGAGGAACTTTATGAGTTTTTTGAAATTTCACTAGTAAAATGTATGGTAAAATTTAAAAAGAAAAACGTCATTCTCGGGTCTTTGAATACTGCGTACACCTGTAGCTCTGCGCTCTTCGTTTTATAATTCGACTCGCTTCCTTCTTTTCTCACTTTCGCCAAATGACTGTCCTACCGCTCGTACTCCATCATGTGTTAAGATCTTGTTTGAAAAAGACCTAAACCAACGCCCATACAGCACAGATGGTTGCAGTTACATTGCAGAAACGTTGCAATCTTGCAGATTGCAGTGCAATCTTGCAGAGACATTGCAGGGATATAAAATTGCAAACTTTCGACAGCAATATTGCAGCAATGTTTCGAAAATAACGAAAATACTATATTTTCTATTTAAAAAATTGTTCTAATTACAAGAATTTTATAATGTTATTTTCGTTGTTACCAATAATGCGCGAATTATTAAGTACTTGATCAGTGCGGTGTTGCTCGCAATCTCCATCTATTGCGAAGCGACATAATCTCCTTAGGTTGCTTCGCAATAGCTTGCTGTGTATTGAAAAAGGTCCGGATGTATCTGTAATTAGTAAATTCTCTGCTTATGTACAACAACGAATTATTCCAAAAATATTGCGCTGCAACATTGCTATAATGTTGCACCGCAATCTCTCCGAGGGCGGACATTTCAACGTTGCTGCAATCCTCCAGAAACGTTGCAACAATGTTGCTGCAATATTGCAATCTCGCAATGTAACATTTCTGCAATCTTCCTGCAATCTTTCTGTGCTGTGTGGGTATATGTAATTAGTAAATTCTCTGCTTATGTACAACAACGACAAATTATTCCAAAAATATTGCACTGCAACATTGCTATAATGTTGCACCGCAATCTCTCCGAGGGCGGACATTTCAACGTTGCAGCAATGTTGCGCAACGTTGCTGCAACATTGCAATCTTGGAATGTAACATTTCTGCAATCTTCCTGCAATCTTTCTGTGCTGTGTGGGCGCGGTTTCGAGACGTCTCTCTGTATTTTTATTCTACTTTATATTAAACACTGGCCAGTTAAGGCGGATTAAAGCTCCTTCCTGTTGAAAAAGACTCTCACGATTACACGATTCTCAGGCTAAATTTGAAGAAGAGCAATCCTTGCCCGCGTGGAAGAAGAGTCCCCGTACATTCTTCTCACCTTCGTGTAGAATACGATTTCGTTACTGAAGAACTCTCCGCTCCGGAAGGTCTTCCTTCTGCCGACATTTTTGGGAATCGACTTGACGACGAAATTAACTTGCACTTGCTGGCCCGGACTGCCGTCCGCGATACCGCGCAGCTTACCCTTGTTAACGGTCGACAGGTAGCTGTCACCCTTGGCGAACCCCTCGCCCAAATTCCAATCTGTCAGCCGCACCTTCCGCCCGCCGTACGCCCTGCAGAGGACGTCCACCAGCACCTCCTCCGTAAACTTGTCACTCACGTCGCTTAAGTTTACACGATCTTTAGTTTGACTCGCCATCTCTACCTTCCGTACATTTATCGATAGACCCGCAAGGTACCCTCGAAATTTCGACCGGAATTCTTCGACACCGCGATTACCGATATCTGGAAATAGATACTGATATCAGCTCGAGGAGTTTTACGACGTGTACGCGCCGGTCAATTTTTTACAACGGGTATCTCTCGATAAGATTAAAGAGCGCAACAAACCTGAGAGAGAGAGACTGGAATAGCCTGACGAAACAAGTCTGCGATTTATATAACAATGTAACCGCTATCCCTGCGTGATTTATTGTGATTTCCAAGTGTATCCCTCTCGAACGTCTCTATATCTTGTCAGCGATAAGAGCGGATTCACACGCGAGGGCATCTCTTATCGTCCCGCGCTGTTTGACTTCCACGGCGCGTTCGATAGCGCGACCGGTACGCTCGCACTCGGAGCAAACAACGAATTATAATTAATTTACGAGTCGCCTGCCGCGGGAGGGGGGCGAGATCGGGAGAGAAGTCGATCGTCCGTCGCGCGAACGCCAATTTCGATCCGATCGCGGAGAGACGGTCGCTCCGCCGGACTGCCACGTGGAACACTCCCAAACGCTATGGCGCTGCCTCGGGATTTTCCATCGCGGTGCGGCAGGATGTGGAGCTCGATTAAAGAGCCCCCTCGTCGGCCTGGAGGGGACGAGTTAAACGGCGCGAGCGGCGGCGAGAGGCCGAGCGGAAACGCGACTGAATTCCACCGACGGACTCCTCGTGTCCATCGCGCGCAGGTTCCTACGGTTCTCTCTCTCTCCCTCTCTCTCGCTCTCTCTCTCTCTCTCTCTCCATCGATCCGCACGGTGGAAACATAACCTCGCTGCTGGAGAATCGGGGATTTTGACCCGCGGTCGAGCTGCCGTTTCGAACGGTTCCACGTATTCTTTCAGAAAAAGATGGAAGGAGAAGAGAAACACTTGGAAGCATTTGTGGCGGCGGCTTCGTCGCAACCTTTGCCGAAGAAAGGCGGTTGCCGCGCGCTTGTAGCCCAAATTTGGGTTCGAACGCGCTCTGCTCCGAGTTCAGTTGGAGCGCCTAAAAAAAAAGAAAGAAAGAACGCACGACTCGAGAGAATTCTCCGATAAAAGGTTCCGTTTGCGAGAAGGGCTGATAAGAACCGGAGGTTGTTACATGGACTGCATAATGATCGTGAAAACTGCCGAGCAATCCTCTTTTTATCGAGCGTTTTGTCCCCCGATTGAATTAACTGTTTCCAAGGGTCGTTATCGAGGCCATTAACGACGAATAAATATTTGCATACGAGAGACAGTCGGGGGCTTTTATTGACTTTTCTTCCGCTATGATATTGCATATTTTCTTGCGATTATATGCTGATAAGGGCGTGCTTTGAATTTTGATAAACGGGACGTGGAATACGCACGTGTACCGTTCGGCGATACGCCGCATTAGACTATGGAGATTACGTTCCAGAAAACTCGGAAACTCGCGGTAGACTTTGTGCCCCGATGGAGAAAAAGAGTGGCCACGTCTATTGTTAGAAACGTTGTTTCCGATGTAAGGAAGTACGATCGTACGTCGATTCGATTGTCGCACTTTGTTTCCGAAGTTCATGCGACGTTAAGGAAAATACTACGATCTGGTAAACACTAACTGCCTCACTGTGCGATACGACACGATATTATTTAAGAGAGCCGAAAAGACAGAGTTGCTTAAACTCTTTAGAAAAAATACCATTTTTAATGAACGAAAAATCTACAACGGACGATTGTAATAAATGCACACAGATATTTTGGCCTAAATGTGATTTTTCGACGTCGTGGAACATTTCTAACACATTGGCAGAGAAAATTGAGAATCAATTGTTTCGACAAAAGCAAACCCTAGCGGAAAAATTTCCATAAATAACTACAAAAGATTGATTTGAGATAGAAATTTTTATATCTTCGTTGAAACATTAATTCTTTTGTAAAAATATCTACGAAATAGCACCACAAATTACAATGTTCTCAAATCAAGTAACTATTGCAAGTGGTACAATTTTGTAAAAATTAGTACAAACTTTACTAGTTTAAAAAATTTGAAAAACAACAAAATCTTGAAGACCCGAATTTATTGACGACATATTAAGTAAAAATTCAACTCTTATCATAATAGACTACAATTTACATTGGAAATGGAAAATGAACGCTCTATTTCCTTTTTAGACCTTAAAATTAATATTCACGAAAACAGATTGTTTATTGATTGGTACCACAAAAAAAAACATTTTCCGGCAGATACTTTTCCTATTATTCCAATCACCCTATGTGTCACAAGATCGGCGCTACCCAGTGAGAAATGACTCGTCGATCGACGTCGAAACGACGTCGAATCGACATCGACACCGTCGAATTGACGTCGATTCGACATCATTTCGACGTCGATCGACGAATCATTTCTCACTGGGTATTTACGGATCAGTGGATAGAGCCCTCCTGTTATCTCACCCTTCTTTCCACGAGAAATATTTATATTACACTAAATATATGTATATTCATATTACACTGAATTGTATCGAAAACACATTTGTCAGTTGCCGTAATTTTATTTCGCATCTGACGACGATCTTGCAGCGAAGCCTCTTTCGCGTCACATGTATCCCTTTTCAACAGCGTCAACTACGACGTCCGCCAATCTTCGTCTCTCGCTCGCTGCCGCAATGTTAGGGAAGTCCACCACATCCACTGCCAACTCGCCAACGTCCACTGCCTCGTCGCCCTTCACGGCGGTGTCGATGGTGAATGACTCGGACACGTCCATCAGACATAATGGAATAGCGTCGAGCGAGGCGAACACGCCAAACACAAATTGCTCTTTCACCTGCAATTAACATCATTGTTACCGCATTGTCTCCCCTAAGGCCCGGTCTTATCAATGTCGCTTAACTTTAAGCTTAGTTTAATTCGTCCGTTGTCTCTTTCCAGCTGTTACTTTAGAAAAAGACAAACACGAATTAAACGAAGATCAAAGTTAAGCGACATGGGTGAAACCGGGCCTAAGTGAGAGAGCTTCGCAAAACGAATTTATCTTTCACCTCTTTCATGAACAAATCCCACGGATAAAGCTCCTCTGGATCAGACCCAAGTAATTTAACAGCGTCGCTCAACTCCGAGTGGTACGTCTTTAACATCTCGTCGAAATATTGATCGCGAAATGACTTCGAGGTGCAGGCATAAATTAGAAAAGATAGATCCATGATGGGACTCGCGCAACGTGCGAGCTGAAAGTCGAGCATCAACGCCTGCTTTTGATCTCGCTCGACGTCGCGGATCAAGAAGTTCGGGGCCCAACAATCGCCCTCGACTATGACGGACGTAGGAGCGTCTTTCCTCTCACACAATTCCGTGCACTTGTCGAAGAGAGCGCCGAGTTTGTAAGAGTTGTATCGTCTCTCAGCTTTGCTATCGGGACACTCGGCAGCCAATACGTGTTTCATTAAAACTTGTATCTTTTCCTGCAAGAAAGCCGCTTTACCTTGACGCAAACCAATTTTGGCACCTAGCCGTTACTCACGTGATACCCTTTGTACCAATCCCAGTGTTCACGGCCGAAGAAGGTTTCTTTTAAAGCATTTGTCATTTCGGCGAACTCTTCCTTTCTTTGGTCTTTGTACGCAAATGAGATCGCGTGAAATTTAGACAGCGTCTTCAAGACGGCTGAACATTCTGACCAGTCTAGGCAGTTCCGTCGCGACACGGCGTAAAATCCTAAACAAGAGGCATCTTCCAAGACTAGAAAACCATTTTCGCTATCCGTACAGGAGATTATGTGGCGTGGTATGCATAACATATCACTCTGTCCCTTTTCGGCTAGAAAGTTTTCAAAATTGGAGACAACCTGCAATAATTGAACGACGAGAATAGTTTATTTGATTACACAAATTCATTTCTTCGGACGAACACGCGTCTGTGTAAATCTAAGAGAGAAAAAAAGACATAAATGTCTGTAATCTTGCCTGCGTGTAAAAAGCGATTTCGTTACAGAAGAAGTCTGCGCATCGGAGAGTCTTTCTTGTCCCAGGATTTTTTGGCATCGACTTGACGACAATATTCACTTGCACATGCTGCTTCGGATTGCCGTCGACAGTGCCACTCACTTTGCCCTTGTAGACGTTCGACAAGTAATTGTCGCCTTTAACAGACCCCTCGTTGAAGCTCCAACCCGTCAGTCGCACTTCTTTCACATTGCATGCTTTGGAGAGGATATTTATTAGCACTTCTTCCGTGAACTTGTCGTTCACTTCACTCAGCGTGACGCACTTTTTGTTCTGATTCATATTTGATATTATAAGCGTCTCATGCAATCTATTTAATGTATGTTATATATTCAATTATCTACTTATATAAATACAAGAGATAGATATTATGAAGTAATGAATGAACCAGTTGTTACCTACACTAAGTTAATAAAGAGACTGGCGTGCTTTATATAACTTATCTTATTACTTTATGCTTTATCAGAGTCTGATAAAGCTAGATGAATCAGTGGAAACGCTGTACTTATATTTGTTTCATAATTGCAAAACAGAATATTGAAAACATGCCAGCAGAAAATGTATAATTTATCGATTTTTATACTGTTATTATTTAATATTTATCGGCCAAATTTTTTGTCACTAAAGCATAAATTTTTCTCGTACTTACCCAAATCGCATTCCGATAGATTTTTGAAAGCAATCGGCGATATCGTTGTTCTATGCGGAACCTCGAAAAATAAAATATAACTTCGACGAATATTCTCTGAAAAATTTTTTTCCCCCGCAAATATTAAGATGTGATAATTTAAAGATCGAAATGGAGAATGAAAATGGAAAGAAATGGTGCAATAAAACAAAATCATATAAATATGCGTACATAATTAACACATTATATTTATATATTACAATATAAAATTTGTTTATAGGAAACCTAAATTCGGAAATATTTTTGCGTAGCGCGTGTCAGACTGGTAAACCCGACGGCATCCTCGTAAAATTGTTCTAAATTATGCTATCCCGATAAATTAAGAGTACCGTGAACACAAAAACCTGCAAAGGTGTATTCCAACTAAAAAAATGCACGGAACCTGTAACGGCGTGTTCCAACTAAAATACATTCTTTATAAAAATGCAAAAGTCAAGGAGTATGTTTTTACGGTGCATTCGATGCACCTCGAGTGACTAAAGTCTCATTCGAAATTAAGATAAACCGTGAAACTTCGCAAAAAAGCTTTTATTTACATTTGTTCCGTTTCGTTTAGCGCCCTAGGTAAATTTATAATTGCAATAAAATTCCACACAAATCGATCGCGCATTCACACTGATCACTTGTCGCGGAATGTCTCTCACGTAATAAATACAGCTTCTGAGATAAATTAAAATACAAGTCTTGCATCTTTTTTTTATACAACCAAGAGATGTATAAATTCCAATGTGTCGAGTAGAATCCAATCAGATTCCATCGTAACAGTAGATTCACTCACGACGAGCCCGTACACCTTATTTACAGTGTCCATATATAAACATATACATTGCGACCTATCGATATACGAAGTGAAAGGTAAAAAGTACTATTTTGTACCTTAGAATCTGAGAAATAAAGTAAAATGCTGGCCTGTGTGTGTGTGTGACGTTAAATCGCACTTATGTCATCTATTCTAGATCGGTAATAGTATTTTTTTTTCGTCTTATTCTCATTCGATTTATTAAGTGTAAACCTGTTGACGTTAGTCGCGTCTTGCCTAACTTAATGGCTAAACTTAACGTAACCCGCAATTCTTAATCTAATCTTAGCCGCTAACTAAATCGTACAATTGGACTGAGTGATAAATTATCATCGACTGTACAAACATCGCTTTCAGCTTGACACAATCATATCCTAATCTCGGAATACCTGAATGAGAATCGTAATTGTTTTCCCCAGTTGTGTGTTTGGACCTCGCGTATAATTTTTTGTAAAAAATATACTTCCTGCTGATCGCAAAGCTGATTTTAGGTCGAATCTCCGTTAAGACGGCAAGTTGAATAAAGGATGAGAGACCAATTGAATTTCAGGAGGTTACTCAAGTAACTTTAACGTACACGTAAGACTATGTAAAATAACGAATCTATACGGTTATAAAAACTGCTGGGACAATAGAAACCGCCGAAGTCTTCTATGTAACAGTGGCAGCGAATAAATAGCAACGTGTTTGCTAAAGTACGATTGGAATTCCTTGTGTGGCGTTAGAACCGATTTGAAAATCATTTGTTCCTCCGATACGTTCCACAGCCGTGTGTCCGGTACTAACAGTGAACATAAAACCGAGAGAGAAGCGTTTTCCTATATATTTCAGTGAGACACATTATTTCTTTATGTTTTTTTTTCAATCACATGAATCTTAATAAGTACCAAGTGCCTAATATAAGATCAAGTTTCGATATACCCTGAACTACCCACATATAGGTAGAGGAACCCCAAACGAGTTCACCGTATACTTTTACTCGCTTATCGAGGATCAAAATAAATATGTATAGATATCGTACGGCAGAGGCTTGGCTCGGACGTCGATGCGAAGCGGGAGAGCAGGAATGGCAATTAGGTTGTCTATACACAGGACATATCTTACATAGAGTACGAGATAAAATTAGTTTAGACCGAAGTTTGCGAGGGCGACGATTCTCGCGGGCGTCGATACAGCCTAGGTTTCATCGACGATCGTCTGCAACAAAAGAGCAACGATCATAGGACATACGTCCAAGCTGAAATAATTTCATTAATTGTATATCGTCGAAGTTCATTTATTGCATACAGTACCGGCCGAAATTATATCACCTTTAGGTTTTCTGAGAGTTATCGCGTTGAAACAATATACAATTAAAATTCCGCCTCTCGCAGTACCCACCGAGTCAACGAGAATCACGTTTCTAGTCATCGCGTTGGCACAGCCTTTATGTGTTGTTGTAAAGTTGGTGGTGGGCTTGATGCTGACTCGGATGCGAGTGTTGCTGCAACGAGTGCTGATGCTGATGGGGATGCTGGTGCTGTACCGCGGGATGCCTCGCGTTGTACCTGACGCTACCGGCGAGCGAGCTTCCCCTGCCGTGAGTGCCGACCATACTCTGCGTGTCGGACAGCTCGTCCTCCTCCGCGCCAAGACTCCGGAACCTAACGAAGCCATCCTCGGCGACGAGCATCGTCGAGCCGCTGGTCGGAACTTGTTCGTGTAGGCCTTGAACAGGCGTATGCCTCCCGCGGGTCTCCGAGTTCCTTAGAGTCTGTATGCCGTTACCGTGGCGACTTAAAGAACCCCGACCTTCGTGAGGAAAGTGGCCCATTGTACCTGACTTGCGAATGGAATGTCTCTCGAAGGTACCTGCGCAACAAACGAATACCAGTCTTTCGTAAGTTAATTGCAACGGCGTAAACATCATATTAAATAGTCTGACTGAATAATCAATATATCAGTTTCCTTAACTCGAGAATGAGACATAGATTCAAATACATTCGATTGCGAAGAGACTCCCAAGAAACTTGTGGGACATTACAAGTTCTTTACCTGATATGTTCAAATGCTCGGGCAAAGTGTTCAGCGGGAAACTGTCGTCGTAAACTTGCTTTCCCGTTCTCATGGTGTAATTCTGAATCGCTTGGTTGGTGCTACATATAGCGGGGTAGAGTACATCGTCCATGTTCTCCGTGGAGGTGGAACTGCCGCAGGGGAACAGAGCGAAGCCCGAGTGCGCCGAGTGTTGCTGCATCTGCTTCTCGCGCAGCGGGTACTGGGACAGGCTGGCGACCCAGGCCAGGAGGCCGCAGACGGACAGCTCGAGGAGTCTGACGGAGAACTGCCAGCCCCACCAGAGCCACGGGTACTGCTGCGGACGTTCCTGAACGCCGAATATACCGTAGAGCTGCACGAAGCCCATGAGGATGAACAGGAGAGCGGTGGCGATGGTGGTGGTGATGGCAGTGCTGAGCGCCACCGTGGTAGGATCCGCGCCCATCATGTGATTCGCGCCGGCCGCCTTATTGCTGGCCATGTGGATCTGCGAGCGCACCACACGGTACACGTACATGTAGCACAGGCCCAGGGTGACGCAGACGACGATGTAGATGCACTGGCAGATGAGCGGCAGAATCCTCGCCTCGTCCTGATAGCCGAGCATATGCGCGGACACGTGTAGGGACACGCACAGCACAACGTGCACCGTCGACGAGAGCACGAGCGTGATGGGCGAGACTATGCTGTTGTTGAGCGAGGGCGCCTCCGAGCACCGGGCGAGGTACAGCATCAGAGTGGCGAACGCGGTGGACAGGAGCGGCGCCGGCAGGTACATGAGCACCCTGGACAGCGACTCCGGCAGCGAGTGTCCGAGATTGTAAGCGTCGTAGAAGAGGTGGAAGCACCTCAGGGTGCAGATCGTGGTGAGCAGCAGGTGAACGGCCAGGAAGTACGACTGCGTGAGTAGATTCGTTGCCTCGTTGAAGCGTACGATCTTGTAGATCGAGTACAAGGCCATGAGCGTGAACATAATCGCCGCGACGTACACGTGCAGCGACCAGGCGATCCGCCACGTGGACTCGAGCGGATGCGTGTCGACCTGCGGTATCAGACGATCGTCCTCGTCCACGTCGTCGTCGGCGCTCGCCGGCCGCTTCGGCGTTGGCGCCGGCGGCTGCGCCTGCGGATACGGCAGCCTCTCCGAGTGCACTATCTCTATACTGTCTACAGGCTTCAGGCCGTGTTCGTTCCTCAGGCCGTGGTGGTAGCCGTCGTCGTCTTGCCGGCCGGTGTTGGGTAGGTTGAAGATCGTCGGCTGCGTGACGGCGATCTTCGAGGGGTCCGCGGTGCTGCCGGACGCTCTCGGCGCGAGGGTGCTCGACGGCGACGTGGTCTTGTCGGTCGTCGGGGCGGGAGGTATGTTCGGCAGCAACGGACTCTTCGTGGCTAGGGGCTTCAGCAGTATGTCAGGTATATCCTGCTTCCTGCCGTTGCTGCCGGACAAGATCCTAGAAATACTGGGGTAGTGAAGGGTCACGAACGAGGGGTCGTTCGTGCCGTTCTTCCGATCGGCCTCGCCGGACTCCGCGGGCCTCTGCTCCCTGCTGTCGGCCACGCTCGCCGGCTTGTTCCTCGAGTGATGCCTCTCCGGCAGCTGGGAGGGACTCTGAGGTAGATCCGGCGGTCGGATGGGTATCCGCTCGTGCGCCGGCGTCAGGCTCGGCGGCGGCACCGGCCTCCTGTTGCCGGTGTGCACGTCCGAGTTGGTGCCCCGCAGCGTCGGCTTGTCGGCGAACGGGTGCAGGTACTCCGGCGGCAGGGGTGGCGTGAAGAGCGCTCTGGAGGGCGGCGCGTACGACGGCAGGTCCCGGAAGACGGGTGACGCCGTGGCCCGCGGCGCCGCCGGGTACTTGACAGCGGGTATCGACGAGCTGGTGGTGGTCGTGCTGACGATCGTGCTGGTGGTCAGCGGCGACGGCACCGTCGACAACGTCGTGCTGGCCGACACCTGGGCGTCGTACGCCGGCACGCTGCGCTTCGTGGTCGCGGAGCTGTGCGCCACCTTGTTGAAGATCGCCGCCAGGTTCTTCTCCAGAGCGGTGTGGTCCAGATTGAAGATCGGGCTGTTGGGTCCGCCATCGCTGCTCGCCGAGCACACGGTCGAGCAGGACTGCGTCGCCAGCAGAGCGGACAGGAGGAGCAGCCGCGTCATCGGGGTCATGATGCTCGTGTCGAGGATGACGATCGCGGACACTCAGACGCCCCGTCCGGGCATCGGTTCATTCCATAACAGGGTCAGCGCCGCTTCACCACGAGGAGGACGCCGGGGAGGAAGCCGTAAGGACACTTGTTGGGACGAGTCCTCGCCTTATCCCGTACGTTCCCTCTCTCGTTTCCCTCCTCTCGTGTCCCAAGGCAGATTTCCTCACGCGGGATTCTGTCACGTGTCACATTCCTGAGATCGGCTGTCTCTAGCTGCTCTCCCTCACCGTGTCACTCCTCTTCCTCCGCGCGACATCCGGCACGTTCCCTTCGACGTAGCGTTATACTTTATAGCCTGTGCTTTCGCGCTCGATCGCGGATACCGTCGACACGCGCCAAAGGTTTCCAATGGGGTAGGATAGGATTAACAGCGTCTCCCTTGGAACTATACTTGTATCTACATTCTTTCGCGTCCCGCATCAGATAGAATCCTCCTTGACGTCTGCGACGTGTCGGGCAATTAGGCGGCGTACAAGATTCAATTTCTTCCCCGCGGCATCCACCATCCTCGGGGTATCCACTACCGTCTCGCTTCACGTGCTTCCATACGGAATACGTGATCCAATCGCCCCTGGATTATTTTGCCGCGTTAACTTCGTTACCGTTGTCCCGCACAGGTGACTCGATTTAAAATCTATCTACTTGCGCGTCCGATACGGCGACGACACGGGTTTGTTAACTGAGTTTGATCCGATATCGCTGCCGCTGCTGCTGTTGCTGCTGCTGTTGTTGTTGCTGCTGCTGCTGCTGCTGCTGCTGCTGCTGCCGTTGCCACTTTTGCTCCCAGAAGGCCATCCCAGATCCGCGAGAGCCCCAGCCGGAACGTGAATCGCCGGGGGAGTGTTTAACGCGCCGAATTGGCCCGTATTCCTAGTCGTCGACTCGGCTTCGTAATTACCGTATCCATTTCTTTAATTGGGACGTGAGCGCGCCCGCTGCGGTCATCCGTGCCTCCTCCTCTTTCGCCGATACGACGTTTCTCCGGGTGCCTGTAAAAAATATCTGTCATCAGTTTAAAGAAGCGGCGACTTAGAGGACAATAACTCTTGAGCGAGATACGTGGATTAGAATAATTTAATAAACGAGGACTCGTTCCAAAGGTCTATGAAATTTTTGCTTTTCAATCATGAGATCTCGTATATATTTTTTTAACCGTGTAAACTGTAATACGGAAAATTTGAATATAGTTTAGAAAAATACGGATTTGAAGTAAAAAAATTTTTAATCAATTTCAAATATAAATACTCGAGTTTTTGTATACTATTTTTTCAGAAATACGCAATAAACTCGATTTCATAAACAATCAATCGTTTTGCTTTGAAATTTTCAGTTTTTAAAATTTTGTAGAACCTCATTAATTTTACTTCTTCCTCGATTTACTTTCGCGTACCAGGATTTGAAGTAAACATTCCGAAACGTAACTGCGAAGAATTTCAATCGGATATCAATAACTTTGTCGTTTAATAATTTACAACAAATTTAATGTAGAACATGCGAGAAAGATTTTAAATTGAAGAAATCAAATAGCTGAAAATTTCACAACTTTTGGTAAAATTTGATGTCCTTAACAATTTTTGACGACTCTTTGAACAGGAACAAAACGTAGGAACAGAAAAGACAGATCAGACGTTTCGTTTCCAGTAAGTTATACAGTTAACCCTCCGTAACACCATGTAACTTTCAAGTCATATCCACGTATCCGCATCTTTGAAGTTTCGTTAGCGCAGCACATCTCATTCCAAGTTTCTAACCGTTTTACATAAAGTCTTTTATAAAGTTTAAAAATTGTAAATTAATTGTTAGTTTATCCGTGGGCTAAGGTTTCCTACGTTTGCTCCACGTTGCATCACTTTTTTTGTTCAGACACGGAAGAGAAATCCGTAGACGCTTAAATTCCTAATTTCGATAACGTTTCGTCGTGCATCAATTAATCGTGTAAACGGATAAAAATAAATACACACCGGCCGCAAATGCACAATATCCGTTACGCACCATTAATTTACGTGTTATTAATATTATTAGCCCGCAGAAATATGTAAACGAGCAAGTTCGCGCTGGACGTAATTGAGTTATTCATAAATACTACTATTTATCGTTATTAACTTAATTAAGTCCGATATCGGCCACCGCTGCCACCGGCCGGTAATTCGCCACCGGTAATTGATCGTAAAGCGATCCGAGTGGCGGGGTAGAAATTTCTCGGATATCTTAGACAACGAAGGAAGTCGTACGAGACGGCCGCCCCGACCCTTCGCGACGCAGCCAGGAAATTGATTCGGCCAGGTAAGACGGAACACGTGGATGAGTCAGTCGCGACGAAGGCAGGGCAGCGACCATTGATTCCTTTCCACGGCTTATCGTCCGATATTTCGTTCCGCGAAGCGAAACTTAATAACGCCGACATGTCTCTCTTCCGACCGCGAGAGATTTGATTCTCCCACATTTCGGCCGCCAGTAATCGTGGATGCGCTCCATAACGACAGGCATCCCGGACAGGGAATACACAATACGGATTAGAGAAACAAATCTAAACAGCGAGATGCAAATGTTGATTGACGAATTGCCGCGCTCGCAAACCGATAATGATAATCGTCCCGTTGCTATCTCGTCGGTGCGATATTACAAGATTCATCTCGACTATCATTTAGACAAAAAAGAGAGCTGAACTGATAGCATTTTTATCTCTTTGAAGCGTACATTCTTCCGTTCAGCCGATTTTTCTGAAACATACTTGGGGTTTTTTGGGTCGCTAATTCGGAATCCGAAGTCAAAATTCTAAAACGATCGATGATTGGCTCGATAGCAGCTCAGTTAAAACTGTAATTTAAAAACTTTGTTTTCTGTAAGATATCCTGCAGTAAAAAAATTATTCCTATAAATCGTCCGGAAGTAAATGTGATCTCCGCGATCTTACGCCAAGTTGTCTCGTTTCGATGATCCAAGGGTCTGGTACTCGTAAAACTGTCAACCCAAGTCTCAAACTTTTTCGGCTGCTGATTACGATTCTGGTGTCAGAAGCAGGTTCAAGTGCAGATTTTCAGGCGCCATGCTGGATCCGCCATTATGAATTTTGTAAATTTGACCTCACACGTGCAATGAGCAACCTGAAGAACTTCCGAGTACCAAGTTCCAGATAAATCGATCGCGTTTCTCACAATCTCGACTCTTTCGATCCGCTATCTTGAATTTTCAAATTTTAACTTCAGATCAGAAGCCAGTGATCTCAAAAGAACCCCAGATATTAGTTTCGGAATGTCGTTTAGAGGAATAATTTTTGGACCGCAGGATATTGGATAGAAAAAAAATTTTTTAATTAAAACTTTGACTTTGAGCTGCTATATTTTTAAAAATTACAAATTTCGACTTGAGATTCAGAATTAGCGAACCAAAAACCTTGTAGATATAAAGTAATAAAGATCTGAGTGACAGAAGTGTTGTTTTTTGTATTTCGGGAGACGCAACATGTATGTTACATTGCACTTCAAAGGGTTAATGCGATAATTCGGGAGACAAAATGAGTTTTGCGTACGACAAATTGAATTAGCCGAACAGCATTTCTCGAGTGGAACGATTATTTCTACCTTTCCTGGATGACCAAGAGCCTTCCGTGACACATCGTGGACAAAGTCCCGGTAAGAAACAGCAGCTTGCATGTGATTAATTGTTATTATCGCACACGGTTGTAGCGATGATATAATCCCGTGACGAGATCAGAATAACCAAGCGACTGCTTCCGTGCAGTCGATATTATGATTCATAGGCGATCAGGAATATCTCGTGATGCTTCGTAGACAGCAAAAAGCACGTCCGCGTCAAAATCAAGTATGATAAAATATAGACGTGTGCCCTAAGCGTTGGGCGAGGTGTCGCGATGGAATGCGTACTCTTTTCAGTCTGACAAAAACGGCTGGGATAGACACACATACACAGCCGAGCGAGAAGCTATTTGTCTCTTTTTCAACGAATATTTTAAGGTCGGCCGCGGCTTAAAATATTCGTTGCATGCTACCTTACGTGTAACCTGATTTTCAAATACCGCCGCTATCAAGATCCTATCGGGCGAAAGTGGATAACGTTTGACATCTATGGAAGATTGCGAGAATAAATCAATCACGTATCGTGAAGTGTCATAAATAAATTCATATGACTTTATTAACGGCGCCGCTTCCTTCGCATATATTTGAAGACGCGCCGTCGGAGAGTGCGAATTCGGGGCATTGATGAATTAGATTTACGACAACTTTGAATGTCACGTGTTTAGACTCCGCGCGTTTTGACTAGGATTCATATTTTCTAGCGAGCAACTTTCTTAACTTTGATCCAACGCAAAGATACATCGCTTATCGATATGCAATGTAATTTTTATTAGGCTTTTAACATCGCGGATATGCCTCAGATATATTACTTGTTAAAATTAACTTATTAAAGTTAAACGATAAATTAAATATAAAGAAATATTTAAAGAAATATAAAAGAGATAAATGTAATTATTTCTGTCTGCGTTGAGTTCTATTATTATTTATCGCAGGCAATTTGTCCTTCATGGAATCTAAAAAGAGGCACCTGCTGCTTTGACACTTTTCCAAAGATGTAATCTGCTCATAAATTCGCGAAACATTGACAGATGAATGGAACGATAATTCTACGGCATTTCGATATAGCCGTATATTATACTAGTTTAGCGTATAAATCTCATATCGATATGTACCATCCGGTAGCTTCGGTAATTACAAGCTTCGTGACATAGAATCGTTGAAATCGTTCGCGGTAAAAGGGTATTATGCTGATACACGCTCGCGATCTGTATGTCACGATAATAGTCTGTGAATTAAGCATTAGATCGAACATTCACCACCAAGTGGACGGCTAACGTTCTAATCAATAACGTGGCTAGAGTCGGGCCTCGTACGTAAAGCTTATTCGAAAAAGTACTATTTTATACTTTGAACGAACGACTTGTTGAAATATTTAAATACCTTGACAACGATTTATCGGTTATCCCTTTTTTTTAATAATATGCGATCAATGCCGACTTGTCGCGTTACAACACCAGAAATCGAATTGTTCGCGATCGAAAGAAAGAAATGGGTTTACGTCCTGTCGTGTAAAGAGCCCGCCGTTGCTACCCCAGTAACGAGATATTTCTATCCGATTGGAATACGCCTTTATTTTCAAATGAGCAACGACTTATCATTAGCCGCGTTTTGGCGGCCAGTTTATTTTATTCGACAAACACGCGACGTTCGTTGGTCGGTTAATTGGTTGGTTGGTTTGCGCATCTGTGTCCTTTCACCCTTTTACGTTTGTCCCCGATCCATCGAATCGCGTGATCGCACTCGCCGATGCTGCGCCAATACACAAACCCTGCGGGCGATTTGCTCGATAGGAGTTGATTAAACCAGTCCAAATCAATGCAGCTAATAATATCGTTTGTTAAGGCTCAAATGCGTTTACGCGGCCGAGCAGGTAATTTTTGTCATCGTTCTATCGACCTTATTGAGCTTGTTACTATACCATCGCGCTATGTGAATACAAATGACTTTGACTGATATTTTCGATTGCCGTCATTTTCATACGTTTTTTCCTGTTTGCGCGCGTGGAACGCCGAGATGCCAACGGTACTCGTATTAATATTCCCGTCTAATTAGCCTTCCAGTTTTCGAGCAAAAATTTACGTTCCATTCTTAGCGCTGGAAATAACGAGATCTTTTAGGAAAATAAAACTTTCGACTGTACTCGAGTAGCGAAACGATGCTGTTTACTCGAATTTAGGTTTCCGCCTTTACTGAGTTCTAAGAATAATAGATCGCGGACGGGGAAAAGTCTACGCGATGTATGTTGACGCAAGTTGTTAGTTAACATAGTTAGTTCATACGACTTCGCGTTCCCTTGGCTTAGTTTAATTAATTATACGAATGTCAGGATTGGCATGTCAGGGGGCCGCGTTCGTTCGCATGCTTCCGTATGACATAATATCTAGGTAAAGCTA